AGTCTATGGTTGCCAGCTATAGGTATCTGGGGGTATCCAATCCGGGCTTACAGATGTTAGGGAGCAATGAGTGTGATGTTTCCTATCAGTACGGCACCCGGGCCTCATTCCAGTATATCAGAAGGATTCCTGCACTCTATATTCTCAGGCCTAAGAAGAATCTTAGGCAGCTGGAATCTTGTCAACCCTCTTCTCAGAATGAATGAAGCGTGGATGGATGAATGTACTGCCAGATTACAACCCCTGGTAGATCAATATAAAAACCCAGAAAACACCAAACTTTCGCAATAGAAAAAATTCCGAGATTTGATCGTAACAACCCGATCATGTCCTGGGGACAAAAAAATCTTTTTAAAAAAAAGTTTTATCATCATCATTATTATAATTATTACTTTTGCTACCATCGTTATTATTTTTATCATTATTACTATTGCAACTATCTTTATTATTATTATGTATTATCTATAAACGTAATGATTCAAAACTTCTTTGTTCTTAGATCGGAAACTATTTTTGTCTGAATCCTGATAATCCAGCGTTGGAAGATCTTAAAAATAATGAGAAGATCAATAATTTTCTAGATGATGGTAAGTATGAATTCATGAATTTTGCTACAGATCTGTTTGTTTGTCTTTAATAAAACTCAAAACGGCTGAGCCGATCGGGTCTAAATTTTGTGTAAAAGTTTGAAATGCGCAATAAAAATATTATTCAATCCGTAAACTTTTTTTTGTTTTTTTTTATATTGTAAAACAAGAAGTTGCTCACAGAGAGCCACGATTAAAAGTTGAAATAGAAGATGGAAGCAAAGTGCCCTAAAAGCCTACAACTATATTTAATAAAAACAACAATCTCTGTCTTGTTTATTTGTATGTTATATCACAACTCAAGATTCCCTACACCGATTTGTCTCAACTTTAAACTTTTGTTACTTCAAACTTATAATATTTGATCCAGCAGATTTCATTGTTTGCAAAATCAAAGGTTTACGTCATCAGGTATTAAAGATATACGAAGTTTGAGATTAAAAATCAGTTTCTTTCCAAGTCACTTTTATATAGAAAGTGGTATTGAAAATTACCCAAAAACATATTGGAAAACATTTTGGAAAACAGATGGGAAAACAGATGGGAAAACAGATGGGAAAACAGACAGGAAAACAGATGGGAGACAGATGGGAAAACAGATGAGAAAACAAGGCCAATATTTAAAGTTTCTATATCATTCTGTCAACTAGACAGAAGGAGAACATAAAATAAATGCGACATTGTTGGGCCGACTTTTGTGATTTATAATTGTATATTTATCCGGTTCCATATTAAAGTTTAAAACATCTGGGTTCTTCTCCATGGGTCTTCAATATAAAAAGTTACGATTGAAAACATATCAGATTTCAATCTTACGTGGAATTTGACTTTTATTACTTTGTATTTGTCTTATTACCACTTTTATATTTTTAGGGAATGCTATGGTTTTAACATCTACCCTAGAATTCAGGACTGATGAACAGGTATAAAAATATTTGCAACTATAGATATAACAAAATTATAAAATCAAACTTGTGAAAAATTTAAGCGTTAACGAGAGTTGTTAACATTATTAAACGCTGTTCACTGTATAGTATAGACTGTAGATATATTTAAACAATTAAACTTAAATCCTTCAAGTTCATTTTCTAGAATTTAAAGTGAAAAATGATCATATTCTAGAGTTTTAAGTGAAAAATGATCAAATTCTAGAGTATAAAGTGATCAATGATCATATTCTAGAGTTTAAAGTGAAAAATGATCATATTCTAGAGTTTAAAGTGAAAAATGATCATATTCTAAAGTTTAAAGTGAAAAATGATCATATTCTAGAGTATAAAGGAATAAATGATCATATTCTAGAGTGTAAAGTGATCAATGATCATATTCTAGAGTATAAAGAGATCAGTGATCATATTTTAGAGTATAAAGTTGTCAATAATCATATTCTAAAGTAAAAAGTGATAAATGATCATATTCTAGAGTATAAAATGAAAAATGATCATATTCTAAAGTATGAATGGATCAAGCTGATCATATTCTAGACTATATAGTGATCAAAGATCATATTCTAGACTATATAGTGATCAAAGATCATATTCTAGACTATATAGTGATCAAAGATCATATTCTAGACTATATAGTGATCACTGATCATATTCTAGACTATATAGTGATCAAAGATCATATTCTAGACTATATAGTGATCACTGATCATATTCTAGACTATATAGTGATCAAAGATCATATTCTAGGTGTTGATCCATTTGGATAATATCCCCTCCCCTGGGCAACCTGATGATAAAGTGATCATGTTCTTTAAACGGAAACCAGATGTTATCACTCCAGAAAACATGCATAGGTATTTATTTATCAAAAACAAAACAAAAACAGAATAATTTTTCAATATTTATTTTTCTAGAGATATTTTTGTTTCTTCAATCATGGATTCCCCTGTCTCAGCTCTTTATCATGCGCTGCAAAAGGTAAAATATATCACGGTAAACTAGAGATTTTTTATCTCTGCAAAAAGTAAAAAGGCACGGTAAACTTGATGTCCAAGATAAAAGTCCAGTGAGGCTAAAAACGCCATTTTTTGTGTTTGCTATTTTATAGAATACACGGTCTCTTACCACTCCTAATACCGAGTACATTAGCGCCTGATCAAATCAGGGTTCATGTGTTTGTTGTCTATTATGAACCAATAGAAATAGTATGGCGGTAACATCATCTCATTATCTAATTAGAGTGATGAATCCTTCAATCGGTGCTATCAGTAAATGGAAATATTTACTTCTACTGACACAGTGTCATGTTATTGTTGACGGATTATATATTCTGATTTACAGACAGCTTGCTCTTTGTTAAAGTTTATCGTTAAATCACATCATAATAAGGCAATGTAATAGATATATTTTAATTTTTTATTTGTTTAGATTTATTCTCCTTTGCTTTTAAAAGATGCCAAGTGGAGTTCGGATTTTGACCCAAAACTTCAGGTAAGCATTAATGCATAAAATCAAAGAACTTCTTTACAATCTTCAGTGCATACAACTGAAGACAATGGTCCCAAAAATGAAAATTAATGAATAAATAAAGTTAATAGCTGAAGTGCCCGGCGTTGCCCGTAGAAAAAAATTATAACTTTAAAAAATAAAATTTTGAATTTTGACAAAAGAATTTTGTATTGTCGAAAAAAATTTTGTTTGATTATTTTTAGCCTATGTTACCCTTGAGCTCAAGGGTACCAAAGTTTCCTCAAAAAATATCAGCCAATTCGGTCCAGCAGTTTGGCAAGCTATAGCTAACATATATACAAACATATCTATATAAGTATGAATATATTTCAAAAAAGCCAAATTTCTAATTTCCAAAATAGTATATTTTGTATGTTGAAAAAGATGAACGATCCCTTTAAATAAATGGATTATTTTGTTTAATTAATAAACTGTTTAATTAGAGTTTAATTACTGAATTGGAAAGAGGACTGGGATCAGTTTTAAGAAGACAAGACCCTTCAAGCTTTAAGGTGAAACATTTTTTTTGGGATACAATTATGAACAATTTATTGATGTGAGATTTGCTACCGGAGAACTTTTTTTGTCTAAATTGGGACAAATTTAAACCATTTTTGTTTGTTGCCCTTCTAGAAATCTACTGAAACCTTTTTTTTTTGTTAATTAAGTAAATTATTATTTATTCGTAAATGTAATTGCCTTTTTCATTGAAAAATATCTCTACATACTACAAATCGAAAAACAAGCCTTTAGCTAGAATTGGCACAATACTGCGTAAAAACATGCACAAAGACTGGTTTCACACAGGCTTGTTTCTTTTCATATACTTTTAAAATTCATATTTTCTTGTCCATTCTTACTTAGATGAAGAGCTCAGTACTAGGTGAACTTTCACCTAGTACTGTTCCTGACTATTTAGATTGAACTCATCTTATCTAAATAGCTGTACTAAGAGAATATAAACATTAGCAAGGTTTACCCATACTTAGACCATTGTTATTTTTCTAAATGAAGCATGTTACATAAACTCTAGTGTCGTAACTTTTTATTACTTATTTGTGAATGATATTCACAAAAATTAAATTTTGTCATACAAGTAAAATTTTTGTGTCATTGTATGCATTAAGATAAATTGAATTCCCTTTAACATTTAACATTTTGGAATGTAACTTCCCTTTAATATTTTACATTTTGGAATTTAACTCCCCTTTAATATTTTGGATTTTAACTCCCCTTTAATATTTTGGATTTTAACTTCTTTTTAACATTCTACATTTTGGAATTTAACTCCCCTTTAATATTTTGGATTTTAACTTCCCTTTAATATTTTGGATTTTAACTTCCCTTTAACATTCTACATTTTGAAATTTAACATCCTTTAATATTTTGGATTTTAACTTCTCTTTAACATTCTACATTTTGGAATTTAACATCCTTTAATATTTCAGACTTTAACTTCCCTTTAACATTCTACATTTTGGAATTTAACTCCCCTTTAACATTTTGGATTTTAACTTCCCTTTAATATTTTGGATTTTAACTTCCCTGTAACATTCTACATTTTGGAATTTAACTTCCCTTTAACATTCTACATTTTAGAATTTAACTCCCCTTCAACATTTTGGATTTTAATTTCCCTTTAACATACTACATTTTGGAATTTAACATCCCTTAATATTTTGGATTTTAACATCTCTTTAACATTCTACATTTTGGAATTTAACTTCCCTTTAACATTCTACATTTTGGAATTTAACTCCCCTTTAACATTCTACATTTCGGAATTTAACTCCCCTTTAAGATTTTGGATTTTGACTTCCCTTCAACATTCTACATTTTGGAATTTAACTTCCTTTTAACATTTTGGATTTTAACTTCCCTTTAATATTTTGAATTTTAACTTCCCTTTAACATTCTTCATCACGGAATTTAACTTCCCTTTAGCATTCTACATCTTGGAATTGTAATAGCTAAACTTCCTACCTGGTTTATTGTGACATTGGTTTGAAAAAATTTCTTCTTATGTCATTAAATAACTTCTTATGTCATTAAAACTCTAATCTAACAAAACTCTTAATTCTAGAATTCTAGAAAGTTCTTACCTGGACTTTTAAATACATTTGTGTAAATTGTTTCTAACCTATAATTTAATTACATTGGATTGAATTAGGTTGAGGAAGATGATGGTGGAGATCAAATAGATTCTTTATCTCTTATACTCACACCCGCAGACGAAACACAGGTTGGGTATAAAATCAATTCTTTTTCTAAAAAAGTAGAAAAATTGTAGAAAGAATAAAATCGAAAATTTTTTTACGGGGGTGGATGATAAAGAACCGATTGGCATAAAATCTTCATGTTTCAGTATTGGACTGATTTATCCAAGACAGCCAAGAAACGGGAGGACAGGTAAAAGAAACACATAAAAAATAATTCATTCATGGAGAAATTTAATTATAAAATAGAGAAAATTTTAAAATTTCATTGATAGGAAATTTCTTTGATGGAAAATGGATTTGATATTTGATAGAAAAAACCTGAAAGCTAAGAGACGAGAAAAAACGAAAAATTCTGCGATTGATGAAAAACACAATAAAGTGATATAAATTTAGTTATGCGTATTGTCTATTAAATTCTTTAAAATTGATATAATGTTTAAAATTTGTTGTCGATGATAATTCAAACCTCATAACGTAAATAAAGTATGGTGTTGGTTCCACATTTTTAAAATGTCTTTTCCGTGAGGTGACTCAGCTATTAAATGTCGTTTTCCACAATTTCTATTTCTGACATATCCTTTACAAAATGTCTTTAAAGTGTTCCAAAAACTATATTGATTCAAATTTAGAAAATATCTTATTCATGATGAAACTTATATATTTGATTAAAAGAATATGCAAGAATTAAATCCTGTAAGTATAATTGTTATGTAAGAGATATTTCAAATCTTTAAAACCTATTAATCTCTAAGGTGAAACAATGTCTTAATTTGGCGGATTTTTAGCAGAATATTTTATTTCCTAAAAAATGTTTAGCATCTTATATAAAAAAAACATATTTAATTAGGAGGATTAAGAAAAAAAAACTGCCAACCGCCGGTTAAAATTTGAATTACCGATTCAAATCCTTCCTGAATCTATAGCTTTAAACTTTTAATCTGTGGTTCAAATTTGAACTTGCAGTATAGATACAGGGTGTCCCAAAAACATGGGAATTCAGTGACGAATTCGATATCGTCTTTTCAAATAATTCTTTGATTTAGTATAGTGATACCTACAGAGAAAGCTGTAATCTGTAACAGTTTCGTCTGCTATGTTCACATTTTGTTTGTTTATGTTTTGACTGCATACGGTTGTACACCAAAACAAGAAAATTGCAGTATACAAACAGAGTAAACTTGTCCGTCTTCACTGTTCATCTTGCGGAGACATTATAGACACATCTTTGCAGTCTTTTACCCTTTTCATAAAATAAACTCTAGCAGACATAATAATATTTTGGCTTTTGAAATTAGGTATTACAGTGCTAATTCATAACAAAGACGATATCAAATTCGTCACTGAATTCCCATGTTTTTTGGGACACCCTGTAGTTCAGCGGCGTAGCTCAAATTCATTAATTCGATCCCCAGTACATGGCCGAGAAGGTTTCGTTTTAAGGATAAAACCATCTTTAGAGAAGTGTTTAAATTTAGAAATATAATTTTTGATAATTATTAGAGAAAAGGCCGCCATTTTCTCTGAGACCCTTACTCCGATGTCGAAAGATTTTTACAATATTGAATCCGTTCAACTCCAGGATGTAGAGGTACAGTTTTATATAAAAATTTACTATTCAAATCTTAATTTTTTAATTTTTCCCCCAGCTCATAAACGCCTGAACCGAATGGGTCAGATTTTATTGTTTGACCTGTCATGGCCCATAAAAAACTGTTCCTTGATCAGGATAACAACATTATTGTTATTTAAAGATTTCACACTTACTTATTAATTGGTTCTAAGAAATGTTTGTTTTATTGGATAACAATGAAAAAGGCGACATCAGTTAAAAGTTAAAATTGTTACTAGACGCGGGCGCGAAAAATTAAAGATCTTTTAAAGTGTCAAAATTTGTGTCAAAATTTATGAAAAAAATAAAAGTTGAAAAAAATAAAGACCAAAAAATGCGAAAAAAATCCCTTTAAAGTATATTTTCTAGAAAACACGGGTGATATTTCCTTATAATGTTTTTGTCAAATGTTGTTTATGTTATTCCATTACCTTTCTCGAAGTTTCTAATTGAATTCCTTGAAACCCTGCCTATTCTCAACTAGTTACTAGACTCATAAATTTAAAAGGGTTTCTTCTCTATACTTTTATTTTTTGTAATTTTTTAGTGTATAGTGCAGAGTGTAGAGTGCAGAATGTAGAGTGTAGAGTGTAGAGTGTAGAGTGTAGAGTGTAGAGTGTAGAGTGTAGTTTGTAGAATGTAGAGTGTAGAGTGTAGAGTGGAGAGTGGAGAGAGAAGAGTGAAGAGTGTAGAGTGTAGAGTGTAGAGTGTAGAGTGGAGAGTGGAGAGAGAAGAGTGAAGAGTGTAGAGTGTAGAGTGTAGAGTGTAGAGTGTAGAGTGTAGAGTGTAGAGTGTAGAGTGTAGAGTGTAGAGTGTAGAGTGTAGAGTGTATTGTGAAGAGTGTAGAGTGAAGAGTGTAGAGTGTAGAGTGTAGAGTGTAGAGTGTAGAGTGTAGAGCGTAGAGTGAAGAGCGGAGAGAGTAGAGTGAAGAGTGTAGAGTGTTATGTAGAGTAAGATGTTGAGTATATTATAGAGTTTATATTCAAAAGTTTTTATACATATGTTTTTAGGACATCCTTGAGACCTGTTATAACGTAGTTGAGGATCTCTGGAGGCTGGAGGACTATCTATACCCGCAGAAGAGGATGATTCATTTGATGGATATTATTGCTCATGCTGTTACCAGGTATGTTATCAGAGAACCTTAAATTTCAAATATTTTTCAAAAACATTTTAATTTTTTCCTTAATACCCAACCCACTATCCTTTCCGCTGCAACTTTTAAATCTTTTTTATCATTTCCAACTCCAATAATTGATAAATGACAAAGAGTGAATCAAGAAAGGTTGTATTAGCGTTTTATAATGTGATCTACCTTAGTATAATATTTGAAGACGTGAAATATTCGATGTTTGGGCAATTTTAATATTTACTCAAGAATTTGGAATTTTGACATATTTCTCCACATTTTTGGTTGTAATTGTTGTTACTGGCTGCTTTTTAAAGTCACCGCTTTATTCCCGTTTTTCATTGTGACACCCTGTATTTTCCAAATATATCCATTTTTAACATTCTGCATTCTTCAATTGTAAATCCATTTTTAATGGGACACCCTCTATTCTCCAGGTATATACAGAGTAAGCTGACCCTCTTGGATCTGTGGACAGGGAAGTATTCAGATGTTGACCTTCTCCTTACACAGGTTAGATTCAAGGCTGTGGAATAGGAAGACGACTTTACAGTAAATTTATGTGAATATATATATCATGTTGCTCTGAAGCAAATAGTCATACCATTATCTTAAAAATCAATTAAATTAATTAAAATTGGTCAGTGTACACTGCAAAATTGATTTGTTTCATATTCATTGGTCAAAATTTAAATCATAATATTACTTGGTGTAAAAGTTTTAATCTTGCAAAAAAAAGGCCAAAAGGGACAACACATAATTGCTCATTAAGATTTATTTTTGAGCAAGTGTACTTTTAAAGTAATTTAGGAAGACGTCTATAGTAAAATATGAACCAAAATGTCATATTTTGACGAATTTATGCCAAAAGTCAATGAGAAAAAAATTATAGGATTTAATTACCATAGCACACACCACTGCCCCTTTAGTAAAAGTAAATTCAATTTATATGAAGCATAAAGTCTGACCGCGTCAACCTTGTTGCACCGGCTAGTCCTGTCCACAGAGCTAGGTACAGTACAAACTGTTACCGGAAAGGTTGAGCCGCCTCGGAAATTAAATGCACTAGAACTTTGAGTTTTACTGGTCTATCAAATGCTTTGTTTTTGTGCACATTTTATATGAATACAAAAAAAAACTGATATTACTTTGGATCATCACTATATAAACTTACACATTTTAATATTTATGAATACATTTTAATATACAATAAATATATATGTAAATTGTACAACATTGTAAAATGTACATTCCTACGTTCTACATATAGTTTCTACTAAATATATTCTAAATTATAAATCAAATTTGACGCATGTCCACATAAATTGAACAAATTGGAGACAATTTTATATATTTATCAAATCCAGGTTGGAATTGAACACTATTAAGGTTTCTAAATTGTACATAATATAACATCTTGATTCAAAATTGTACAGCAGTGTACAGTGTACAGTGTACAGACGGTTATACAAATAACCAATACAGTAAATCACTGTTACAAAATGGTTTCGGTCATTTAGATTTTTCGAACAAAATGATGGCTTTTCATCCATCATTTAAGAATTGATATTTTGCATAATTTATTTTTTACTTTACTCTGCGCATCGTGATCATTGGTCTGAAAAGATTGAAAACTATAAGAATAAATAAATAATTTGCAAATAATTGAATTTTCTCAACCACGAAAGTAATTTTACTGGTCAACGAACATTGGTTATATTGAATTATTTTTCTTTCTTGTATCTCTTAACATGAAGATAATAAAAAAACACATGCAACTGTTATTCGCCTCGTACTTTAATTTTCATATTTTTGCAACCTTTTTGTGAAACTTTACACTTAACTATATTACAGATAGACATGTCTGATTCACAACGGTATTATTAGAAGCTTGTTTGTTCAAGAAGTTATCCGGCATCTACTCTTTTCATTATTTTAAATTCTGGATTCTCTAATATGAAACATTTTTTTTCAATCTAGAAAACAACAATATATTACATATTATTGGTGAGATAAAAGTTTAAAGGATACCATTGTGAATTGGGATTGCCCTTTTTTAATGGAAGGTCACTTGAAATAACAACAGCAGTCCCTTTGAAAATGGATGACAACTTCCAAGACCATAAAAAATAACAAAGGCAGTCTAAAAATGGAGTACAACTACCAAAAACATAAAGAAATGCACAAGACATCAATCTCTTCGAAAATGAAGTACAACTCCCAAAAACATAAAAAATAACAACGAGAGTCTCTTTAAAAATGGAGTACAACTCCCAAAAACATAAAGAAATACAAACTACAGTCCTAAAAATAAAAACGAAATAAAAACGTTAATAAATGTGTATTTAGGGAATACATCTGTGTGAGAAATGGTTGGATATGTGCAGTAAGTTGACCGGAATATACTGGGCTAACTATGCTCTTCATATGTGGCAGGTCAGCTGGAGTTTTATTGTAATTATCGTTAAAAGGGAGTGACCTGAAAGCAGGGGTTGTGCAAATTTCAACACCCCTCCTTTCTTGCCGATCTATCCCTTTGAGCATTTGAATAAAAGACACTTGAGGCCGAATTTAAAGAATTTTAGTCGCGGCTTCAGCACCGGGGCTAAAATTTATGCATTATTAAACTTGTATATTTCCAAAGCAAAGTAATCTATGGGAATTTTAAGATGAAATTTAAATTTTTTTTGCATAAAAACTTTGAGAAATTATAAATCATGAAGAATTTTATCTAATTTCTGTTTCCAAATGTTCCCATATATTTAGATTAAAGAGTTTTAGAAAAATTAACATTTTAATTTGATTATTCTTGGTCGGTTGAATACATTACATGTATTTATGTGATTTCCCTGCAGAATAATTATACATGTAGAAACCTCTGTTTGTTTGTAATCATAACTCATGAACCCCTAGATCAATTCACAGCGGTACCCTTTAAACCTTTATCTGATCTTACTGTGGAGGATATAGTATTTTAGGAAAATGTTTAACTCTGACCAAATCATTAAAATGTGTCATTATCAGCGAATCATGTTTTCCGTCTCGTTAAAATGTCACCTTTTTTTACAATTGTTCATTCATCATTGTTCCGATCAGTTTTCAAAATGGCGGAAAACCAGGTTAACTATTGGAAATTCCTTGGGTCTTTATTGAAAAACATTCCCAGGAAATGACCGTTACTTTATACTTTATATGAAATAAATCGAAAACCAATAGTTTTTCTTTCCTTCAATTTAAATAAAACAAGAAAAATCCTTTAATACTAGGCTATATAGTTTAGATATCAGCTTGGGAACCCGGCTTTTCCTGTAGTTTTCTCAATAAAAGACACCTAACTCAACTTAGAAGTTTTAATCAGGCTAAGAATGTTCTCGTAGTTCCACCAAGTACCACAATAAATATTTGAGTCGATACGGTTGAAGGGTTCGTGAGTTATGATAGGACATAAACAGAGATCACTACTTTATATACATATATCCATCTCAGATATGATTTTAACAGAGATCACTACTTTATGTACATATATCCATCTCAGATATGATTTTAACCCACTATTCACTATGTGCACAATCTACCAAGGCACAATACTGACAAGTAATCTTCATACTGTAAACTTATTTTAAGTACCAGGCCGACTTTTATGCAGCTAAAACAAGCTGTACAGTACACATACACAATTTTAGAAAAAACGGGACATCCCGCCAAATGAATTGCAGCCCCTTCTACAGGGAGATGCTAGTGTTCACATATTTCGATGGTTATATTCTAGGGTTCAGGTTACGCCCCGGCCAATGCTAAGAGTGTTGCCGCAAGACTGAAGGAAATTCATTCCCTGCGTACTCTTCACAAACAGCTGACTCAACTGCTTTCTCACAGTGAACAGGTTTAGTAAAACTGTACAGTGTACATGAATTCCCGCCAATACATCGTCTTTGGTTTTAAATTTTTATCTTAACTCCCTGGACAATAATAAAGAAGCTTTAAATACAGCTATAAATTATAAAGATTCAAATGCTGAATTATGCTATTTGGCAGTGTCTCCCACTGCACAACATCAATTATATAATACTTTACTTGCAGAGGTGCCCGGCGTTGCCCGTGTAATATTGAAAACACTTTTTAAAAAGATTCGAATTTATAAACCAAAAATTAGTTTTTTTTCGAATTTTGTAAAAAAAACTTTTTTAGCCTATGTTACCCCCGGGGTACTCAGGGGTTCACTCAGCGAGAATTATGGCCAACAATATAAAAATATGAGCAAAGAGCTTTATTAAATGTAGATAAAAGATAGCTTTTTCACTTTAAATGCTTTTTCAATATTTTTCCTGAATTTCTTAAAATTTTCATTTTTATTTGAACACACTGTATTTTTTAATTTAAAGTAATACTTTTACCTTTTTGTGCCTCAAATTCTTTATTGGGAAAAGTTTTAATTACTGGAGTTGCCAATTTAAAGTTTAAGATGTATTCAGGGGCGTAAACAGGGATTTGGCCGGGCTGGAGCTATAGTTGTACACTGTACAGTATAAATGCAGGCTACTGACATCAAAACAAATGAATCATCCTCTTCTATTGAGATTAATGTGAGGGGGGAGTCAGCCACAATAGCCCCCCCCCCCATCTCTTTTAAAGGATCTGTATATGCCCTGATAAAATTAATTTGTTAATTGCAGGAGGAACTGAAAACAGGAGAAAGTTTTGCAAGTTTTAACAGTGTAAATGCAGTACAGTACAATCCGTACACTGAACCAACATGGAGGTCAGTCAACAAATTTATTAGAAATTTATCTTTGCTTGAAAATTTCATTCCCTTTTTAAAAGCTGTTTTTTTGGTATGCAACAACTTTCATTCCTTAATAAAAAGCTAAACTTTTGGTTTGCAACACTTTTCATTGATTTCCTTTAATCTAAAACGTACTTCTAAGAAGGTCCATATAGAAACCAGCTTATACAAAGGAATGTCATTAACTCTCAGAAAAATTTGAACCAATGTTAACCCCCGACGGATTCAAATGGAATCTCTTTGGATATGAATTTTAATTAATCTTTAAATTTACATTATGATTTTTCTAAGAGTAAATGATACATTAGCAATATTACAATAAGAAGCAATCCTAAAGTTATGATCGACCGATGCCAGCTTAGAGTCGATCTTTGAAAACTCTGATAAAATTAGGAATAGAGTACAAATCTATGCGTGCAGTTAAGTTTCCTTAGAATTATTATGATAAGTTTTATAAATCTTTCATTTTAAATAAACTTGTTTTCAGTAAATTCACATTGATATTTTTGTGACAAATCAAATAACTGTACTTAGTAGGTTTTGAGATAAAAATATTTTCAATTGGGCGAAAAAGTTAATAAGAATCACTTTAATAAACCAAAAACCTCAAACTATTAGAGTACTTTTTAATCCAAATTAAAAATATTTTTGAAAAAAATTTTGGTTTAAGTTTTTTTTTATTTTAGATCTCAATATCGAAGCTTTTCTTATTTTTACTATATATGTAACGATAAACCTATAGAAAGTCTTAAGAATATTATAATTTTATTATGTCTAAACTAAAAAGGAATTGAGTCTTTGCCACAAACTCGGAATTTTAAATCCCAATTTCTTTAAAACCAAATGTCGTAGACCGTAGATATTTCAAACTGTGAATTCTGGTGGATCAAACAATGTAAGTTTGAAATATGAAAGGTAAACATCATCTGGTTGTTGAGATTTTGGAATTATAAAATTGGAATTTGTGACAAAAACTCAATTCCTTTATACTTATTTTTTGTGTGTTTTTTTCTTTATGTGGAGGGGAATGGGGAGGGCGGGGGGGTTTAGAAATGAGTTCTTTTGAAATTCCAAGTGATAGGGTGTCTTTTTCAAAACATGCATAGAATATTATTTACTATGATGAGTTCATGAGATAGTATAGAATATTATTTACTATGATGAGTTCATGAGATAGTATAGAAAATTCCAAACTGAGCCAAACTACACAATATACATGTTTGTTCCACTTCATTTCCTTATATAGACTTGCATCCAACTTGTCTAGCAACTGATGAAGGTATTGTATAAAGTGAGACATATAAAACTGCGGAATGCAAAGACGATATTCAAGCAATCTTAGATATAAGTACTATATGTTGTTATGCATGGCAAAAAGATTGTTAAAACCAACTTAACAATTCGGTGTTAACTTCACAATTGTTGTATTTATTGTGCTTTGGACTATGTTACGTCATACCTAGAGTCTAACAGTCGTCTTCCTATTCCATCCACAGTTTTCTGGGTCTCGCTGTCAAAGCCAGAGCAGCAAAAAAAATCAAGCATAATAAAATTTAAGACTTTATTTTTCTTTTTATTGCAGCTGAACTGTGTCAGGATTGTTCCAGTGAAATGATTAAAAAATAAAATCAATCTTTTTATATTTTTGTTTGTATCCAATAAACATCAAAAGAACCTTACATGACCCCAGAAAAGTTTGGGTTTAAGTTCTATAATGATTGCATTCCCTACACTTTTATCTATAAGATATTATTGGAATTCAACCAGTTTAAAACCAGGAAAATCTGCGAAATTTGATTTAGCTTATAATGTAAGAAGAAGAAAAGATGGTGATGGTGTGAAAAATAAAATATTTAAAAGCCAAAATTTGAACAGAAAGGGATGCGAAGTATTTTATGTTAAAAAGTACAATATCTTCAATTTATGAAAAAAAAATTAAAGCAATACATTTATGGCTAGAGTAAATTGTTTGCCATATTTTCTCTCAGGAGCAAAATTGAACATATCATAAGAAATACAAATGTTTTTAAAAGTGATTTATTAAAAACTTTTTTTAAAGAAGACATTTTACCTTTTTGAAGTCTAGAAGTTTTATTAGTTTTTTTTTAAAGCGAGACAAAACGGTTTAACGATAATATTTGTAGGGCAGCTGTGAAACAGTACGAGAACGCTTTAGCTCCTGCTGAACACAGAATTGCGGGAAAACTAAAAAACCAACTCAGGAAACTTATATTTACAATTATGCAGAGAAACACGATTGCTGGAAATATTATTGTTAGAAAATTCTTTAGACAAATTATTTTAGGGTTAAAAGTGAAAAATGGTAAAATTTTACTTCCATTTATGGTGAGTACTATTCACAACAGTATCCTTAAACTTTTGACTGATCAGAGGCCGAATTTAAAGAATTTGAACCACGGTTTAAATTAAAGCCACAGCTCAAATTTTGTTGGTTCCACTTAAATTTTTCAAGATTTTAACCGGCGCTCAATTGAAACCGGTTTTTGGGGATTTGAGACACGGCTTAAATTTATTAAATTCAGACACAGGATGAGTGAATGAGAGGAATAATATCAAGCTTGGCTATTGTATAAAATGTAATGGGATTAAAAATTCCTTTTAGAAATTCTCATGTGACCATAGTTTTTCTCTTTTGCTAATTTTCAAAATTTCTTAGAAACACAAATAATAAAAGAAAGTTTTAAAGTTTTAATTGTGTTCAGAACTTTGTAAATATACACAATAGGAAGGAAAATATGATTATAAGTTTAAAATAATAATTTTCAATTTTTTTTCAAAAAATTATTTATAACGGAATAAAAAAAAATTTTACCCGTTGATTTACTTTTCATTTAAATATTTGCTTCTGTCAAATAATTTATTATTTAACAAATTTAAAGAGCTAAAATGAACAAAAAATAGTAAAAATTTGTAAGCTAAAAAGAGCTTGAAAACAGTTATATTCTCCGCTATTTCCGAAGCAAAAAAAAGTATTTTTGTTTAGAAACCATTAATGAAAACGATAAGTTTTCAAATAACAAAACAAAGGATATTAAATTGATATAGACAAAGCTTTCCAGGGTACCGTTGTGAATCTTAAACAGAGTGAATCTTAAACCTAAATTATAGTTCCTTTAACTTTAGTAATTTCAAAATTGTAAATATTGTTTCTCTTTCAAACATTTATAATTTATGGTAACATTAGTGCCAAGGTTTTAACCAGGATTAACCAGCTTTCTGTAAAGTGTTTCTTTTTAGAATGTTTCTAAACTTTTTAAAGCTTCGTTTAAACTTTAATTCTTTTTGTTGATGTTAAATTAATACATTAAAGGGACTGTACATGTAGTTTTAACTGACCCTTCATTTAATAATTTTCATTTTCGAATAGGGAGTTTATTTTTTAAATCATTTCTGGACAAAAATCATAAAAATAACATTGTGTTAAAAACTAAAAATTAATAATTTTCCGTTACAGTTTCAAAGTAACATTGACGTGAAAATTTTCTAATCCCTTTATCTTTGTAACCTGATGGTGGAAACCTTTTCAAATTTAGAATATTTGATCTGAGGGAATTCAAAGTTTGAAATATCAAAGGTCAAAAGGTACTTTAACTCAACTCCTTTAAAGTGACTGTAAAGGAAAAATGAAAGGGTGTATAGGATGAAACCTGAGAATCTCAGGAGTTGGACGATACATATAAAACATTTATCTGATGTTCCTGTTGTAGTATTAAACAGATTATATTCAACAAATACGCAACCAATCTGAAAACAACTATATCTCACAGCAACCTGAGAATCTCAGGTTTTCTCATTTTTAATTTTCATTTTTAATAGATATTATTTATAATATAATTACAAACAGTCCGTATAGTCCCTATTACGTCACCAGGACTTCAGCCAATGGCAGTTCAGTATCGTTGTCACGTGATACATACGGAAATCATATGACCCCCTTTCATTTTTCCTTTACAGCCCTTTTAAGCTTTTCAAGAAAAAATTACTTTATTTTTCATAACTGTAATTCAGCTAAATGTAGAAAAGTTACTGTTGTGAATCGGACATGTTTCTCTCAATAAATTAAGCAAACACGTCGACAGTCCCTTTATTAAGCCTATTTTTCACTTTGTTAAATTAAGTATAAGTTCCATCCTAGAAACATGAATGCAAACACAATGCAGTTTCTCCAAGAGTTTAAGCGATACCAGGAACTGATACGGCGGCCAAGCATCCAACGCGAACTGATTGCCGAGCGTGAAAACCTCCTGGCTAAAATATCGGAGTATATTGAAAATGAACGGAAGTCGTTCAGCACGAATGGAGCAAAGTGGGAGACGAAGGACTTCTCTAAACCTGTATCTAATATATATTTTGTTCACCATGCTGAGGCTAGATTCGGAGATGTCATCAAGACAGGAGAATTAATCCTCTCAGATTTAGGTAATCATAAACGCTTTCTTGATTGAATTTTGAATCCATGCAAAGATGACAATGCTCGATGCACAACGGTATCCTTAAAAGCTTTATCTGAGCAAGAATAAATTAGATATAAATGTTTATAATTTTTAGTTATGTTTTCTCTCTAAAAGTCATGACTTACGCATTTTTATTGTAGAAAAACAGAGAGAAGTTCGCAGAATTAATAAATGTCAAGCTAATAACCGACAATACATTCCACTTAATTTTTTATTTAAAAGTTTCAAGGATACCGTTGTGATTAGGGGATGACGAAATTTAACTTGAATTTGAAAACAGAGAATCTTTTTCTAGATGGACATAATTCAGATAATGTTTAGAAAAAATGTCAAGGAATTTTCAAAAAAAAATTTGTTATACATAGATACTTAATAACCTAAATAAAATGAGATATGCAACAAACTCTTATTTTCTAATGCCTATCTTTGCAACCCAATGTCATAGACCTTTGATATGTCTGTGAATTCTGTAAGATCAAATAATCTAAGTTTTGAAATATCAAATATTTACACGATCAGGTTGCAAAGATAAAGGCATTAAAAAATTTGAGTTTGTGGCAAAAACTTAGTTGCTGTCTAAACAAAGTAATTTCTTTTATGTTTAAGTTTGAAATTGTCTTAAAATATAAATTTGTTTGAGTTAAACAAAACATTTAAAGTTTACTCCTGTTTTGAGATTTTATAATGCTGGTGTCATGAATGAATTTGTGTTTTATTTTAACATTACAAAATAATGCCAACTAACTCTATTTGACAAAATTAAAGGAATTTCTTATTCATGTACTAAATAGCAGTTTTATTGCTTATTCATGTACTAAATACCAGTTTCATTGCAGCCAATTTAGAAAGAGCCCAGAATGATTATTCTTTAGTAACCAAGACATAACAACGTGCTTAGATTTGGCTTTGTCAACTATCTTTATAATGTTTGTCATGGTTTTATAAAGAATTTTATTAATGATTTTTTTTTAAAAGGAATGGCTAAATTGCCTTACACTCGAATTTTCTAATCCTTATATCTTTGAAAACTGGTGGTTTTAACCATATATAAATATTACATTCTTCAATCTAGTAGGACTTCAGGTTACAAAGATATTCATAGGTATAAGAGAATTACAAATTTGAGGAAAGTAATCATAACCTTTTTATAATAACTAATTTTTTTAGGAAGTTGGCCTGGACTGAAAGAAAAAATCACAGTTTTTATTGATGAGCTGAAAAGCTTCCAAAAAGATCAATTTGAATCCTGGTCCAACTCTTACCTCTCCCAGCTGGATAGTCAGGAAATATCCCTGGAGACTGATAAACAAGTCATTTACTTCGAACAAGGGAAGGCAATGAGAGTCAGTTATAACAGGGAATTGATCACGTTGAATAGAGATTGTCGTCAGCTTGGAGTTCTTGGGTTTCCTATCCCGCAGAAAATACTAAAAGCAAACGAGCTGGCAAAAAAGTTTGCGGGTCAGGCCATGCAGCTTCAAAAAATTGCTAATTTTCATAACACAATAGGCGATAGGATGATAACTAGTCAAAGGCCTATGATGCTTGAAGCTGCTGTGGGATTGGCACAGTTGGTTAAAGAGCAAACAGACATGACCTGGACAGACACTGACAAAATTGGTAACTACTTAAAAAAGCTAAGAGAGCATACTGACAAGTTAGCCCGGCAGAATAATATGCTAGCGTCATTTCATAAACAAGTGAGAGACAAGGTTTTATTCTTGATGAACACTGATCTTCTGAGACAGCAAAATAAATGGAAAGATATCTTGAAAGAAATCAGATTAATTATGACTCAGGTTGAACAAAATGGATTTACTAACTTGAAAACATGGCGGGCACATTGGGATCGACAGTTGTACAAAGCTCTTGAGCATCAGTATCAAGTTGGGTTGGAGGCCTTAAATGAACATCTTCCAGAGATACAAGTTGATCTTATCTACAGGCAACAACAACTCCAGTTTAGACCACCTATTGAAGAAATAAGAATGAAATATTTTACCCAACTCAAGCGTTTTCTATCTATTCCCAATAATTTCCGTGGTGTTGGAGAATCTACTGAAAATCTAATTTTTCCCCTGATCATAGAACGAAATGCACATAGATTTGGGCATTTGTTTAAAAAGGCAGAGGAACTCTTTCAAAGGTTGGAGCATGTTAAGATGAAGTTCAAAGATTGGGTTGTACTTGGTAGTGTTAATTTGGAAGAAATGATTGAAGAAAACTGCTTAACTCCAGAGGACTGGGAAAGAAACTTCAGAAGTTCTAAAGCCAAGGGTCAAGAGATTGGGCGAATTAATATGGCCAATGAAAAAATTGATTGTATTCAAGTAAGTGTTGCCCCAGTAAGAACAGAAATTGAAATGCTCAACAGAAAGTTGTGGGACACCTTGGTAAACATGCTACAAAGATCAATTCTGAATGACATAACTGATATTGAGAAGTTTGCTGTTGAGGCGATGGACACTTTAAGAAAACAACCCCAAAGTGTTGATGAAATAGGAGAGGCAAATAAGAAGCATAAAGAATATGAAGAACTGTCTCCAACGATGATGAAAAAGTTTGAGAATGCAGATCAGAAAAACAAAATATTGGCGGCTTGGTCCAGAGAAAGTGTTGACCAAGTAGCAAGAGTTGCTGGAATCTGGGACAACTTTACATCTTTAATGGACAACTTTGAACTTGTCATTTCAAAGCAAGTAGAAGCTATTCAGTCAAATCTCATGACTCAGGTTGGAAATGTCAATGGAGAAATTGATAAATTCAAAATGAGATGGGATCAGCTAAAGCCAAAAGAGGATTCAATGGACAAGAATCCGGATAAAATCTATGAAGCCATTGCATTTGTAAAGGAGAAGAGACTTGAATGGAATGAGTTAATCACCAACAAAGATAAGTTGATTGGAGATTGCAACCATTTTGGAATTGAAGAACCAGAATTTTCTCACTTTGAAGAGATTAATTCAGATCTCCTGAAGTATGAAGTGATGTGGGGGATGTTTGAAGAATTCAATAGTGGAATGGAGGAAATGACCAAAGAAGAATGGATTGTTTTCCGCTCTAAAGTTTTTAAATTTGAAGATTATTTGAATTCCTGGAAAACAAAGCTTAATTCTCAAGAAAAAGCTAACACTGTCACTGTTAAGCTGCTACAGGAAATAGAGAAAACTGGACAAATACTTCCTGTTCTGAAATATGTTCGAGGAGACATTTTTTCTGACAAACATTGGACTGAAATGTACGGCCTTCTTAACATGCAACCAAAAAAGATAGATCACCTTGTGTTTGGGGATTTCTTAAAAGTAAAAGATAACCTAATATCAAGGGAGAAAGAGCTTCAAGAACTAAATAATCGTGCTGCAGGAGAAGTAGTCATTCGGGAAGCTCTTAATGAGTTAGATGTCTGGGAGGTGGAGGCAAAGTTTAGCTTTATACCCCACCAGTCATCAATGGGAGATACAATACCTCTAATTAAAGATTGGAAGGATATTTTGAACAAGGTTGGAGATAACCAGGTCCTTCTTCAATCAATAAAAGGATCCCCATACTTCAGCACATTTGGGGAACGTGCTGTTTCCTGGGAAAGAAAGTTATCTGATCTGGATGAAGTTTTGCACAACCTAAATACTGCTCAAAGAAAATGGGTCTACTTGGAGCCATACCAGGAGCAAATGAAACTGAAGCAAAACCAATCAGGGGGTTTCAATTATAGAGAGGTTTTCAAGAGAATTGATGATGATTTCAGACTTATCATGGGGGATGCAAAGAAAGACAATCGAGTCACATCAGTTATAAGAATCGGATCAATAAAAAGTATGTTGACCTCAATGTTAGAGAAGCTCGAGAGATGCCAGAAAAGCTTAAATGACTTCTTGGAAGAAAAAAGATCAAGCTTCCCAAGGTTTTACTTTATTGGAGATGATGATTTGCTTCAAATTTTAGGCCAGGCAACCAAACCTGCTGTGATTCAAACTCATCTTAAGAAACTATTTGCAGGAATACACAATGTAAATTTTGATGACGAAGGCAAACAAATAATCACTATGAATTCTTTGCAAGGGGAAATAGTTCCTCTGAAAAATCCTGTAAGAATATCAAGTGAGGTTGAGGGATGGATGAGTCAACTATCAGACGAAATGAAGAACACATTAAAAGAGCTATTGAAAGAATGCTTACAGGATAGCCGAAAGAATGATGGAAGCCTTGATCCCTTAAAGTATCCATCTCAGATACTATCTTTAACAGAAGCTATCAGGTTTTCAGAGAAGTGTGAAGAGTCTATTAAACAAGGACGGCTAAGTAAACTTCATTCAGAGCTTGAATCCCAGCTTGATTCCTATACATCTACTGACCTAGATGATGATGAAAACTCTAAAGTGCTACAGCTGAAATTAAAGGCATTAATACTGGATGTAATTCACTATATCGATATTGTGAAAATTTTGGATGAAAACAGGGTAAAAAGTGTTGATCACTGGTTATGGCAGAAACAACTAAGATTTTATCAGATGTCAGACAACACCACCAAAATACGAATGGTTGATGCTGAGTTTCTTTATACATTTGAGTATCAAGGAAATGCTCCAAAGCTCGTACATACACCATTAACAGACAAATGTTATCTGACTTTAACACAGGGTATGAAAATGGGACTAGGTGGTAATCCTTATGGCCCAGCAGGGACAGGAAAGACTGAATCTGTAAAAGCTTTAGGTGGTCTCTTTGGACGTCAGGTTCTAGTCTTTAATTGTGATGAGGGAATTGACATTAAATCAATGGGAAGAATCTTCATTGGCCTAGTTAAAAGTGGAGCTTGGGGATGTTTTGATGAATTCAATAGATTGGAAGAAATGACTCTCTCTGCTGTAAGTATGCAAATCCAACCAATTCAGACAGCATTGAAACAACATTTGAGCACAGTTATTTTGCTTGACAAAGAAACCCCACTGGACCCAAACTCTGGAATTTTTGTAACTATGAATCCTGCAGGAAAAGGCTATGGAGGCAGACAAAAACTGCCAGACAATTTGAAGCAGCTCTTCAGACCTGTTGTTATGTCCAAACCAGACAATGAGCTGATTGCTGAAGTAAGTCTGTTTTCAGAAGGATTCAAAGATGCCCATAATATCGGGAAAAAACTTGTAGGAATTCTAAATGCATCTAAACAACTGCTGACACCACAACAGCACTATGATTGGGGGCTTAGAGCTCTAATGCCTCTTCTTCGAGGATGTGGAGCTATGTTGAAGATTATCAGAACCAACAATACAGAAATGAAAATTGACAATGAAAAAGAAGCAGAAATAGCTGTTAATGCTTTAAGATTAAATACAATATCTAAGCTAACTTTTATTGACAATAAAAAATTTGAAAAATTGGTTAAAGATTTTTTCCCCAATGTAGAATTCAGCAATGCAGGATATGAACAGTTAGATGAGGCATTGAGAGAATCATGTGTAGAACTTGGTTTGGAAGTCAATGAAAAACAAATCAGAAAAGCTATAGAACTGTATGAGCAGCTTAAACAGAGAATGGGGGTTGTTATTGTAGGCCCAAGTGGCTCTGGTAAAACAACCTTGACGTCAATTCTAAAACTCGCATTGGATAAATTGGGATTAAGTGTAAAGCAACAAACTATCAATCCCAAAGCAATAGGAAGAACTCAACTTCTGGGACATATAGACTTGGATACTAGAGAATGGACAAATGGTATCTTAACAATTGCTTCATTACAAGCAGTAGATGAGCCCACAGAAGTGACAACCTGGATTGTCTGTGATGGAGATGTAGATCCAGAATGGGTTGAATCATTGAATTCAGTTCTGGATGAAAACCGATTATTGACTCTTCCCTCTGGATGGAGAATTCAATTTGGACCTAATGTTAACTTCATATTTGAAACTCATGATTTGACCTATGCTTCTCCAGCAACTATTTCAAGAATGGCTGTCATCTTTCTCAGTGATGAAGACACAAACATTCCAGGAGTTGTAAATGCATGGATTAAAAAACAACCAGATGAAAGTCAAGACCTTCTTCAGCAGTTGATAGATGAATCTTTCTACAAAGCCCTTGACTGGTGTATTCGCACTAATGATTTTGTCATTGAAACATCTTTAGTGGGAACTGTCATGAATGGTCTGTCTCATATTACAAGTGAGATTAAGAGTAAGCTCGAATTTTGCATAGAAATTATTAAGGGATTTGGTGGAAATCTAGGGGCCTCTGCTAGGGATTCTTTTGCAAAAGAGGTGTTGCAATGGTGTGGTGAATCTCCTCCAAGCAGAAATTCATTTGCAATATTCTATAATAAAGACAGGGATAGGATTGAAAATTATTCTAATGAAAGTACCAATGACTTTGAAGTTGAATCTGTTGGAAGTGGTGAGTTGCCATTAATTTTTACAGCAAATGTACAACTAATGATTGATTGTATCACTCCATGGCTGACAGAAGAAAAACAGCCATTTATTATTGTTGGGCCTGAAGGAAGTGGAAAAAGTAAAGTGCTTAATTACTGCTTCCAGAAATTAAGAGGCACAAATGTAGCTGTCATTCATTGCAGTGCAAACATCACACCTTTTCATGTTATGGAGAAATTATCTCAGATGTGTTTGACAGTTTCAAGTAGCAATGGTAGAGTGTATACACCTAAAGAAGCAGAAAAACTAATCTTGTGCTTTAAGGATTTGAATTTATCAAAACCAGATAAATATGGAACCTCTCAACTTATCTCTTTTTTGCAGCAAATCATTACATATAATGGATTTTTTGACAAAAACAATGAATGGGTTGGATTGGAAGCAATTCAAATTGTTGGAAGCATGACAGCAGGAACAGGACTTGGACGTCATCCACTGACCCCTCGGTTTACATCAATCATTAGGGTATTCTCTATCCCTGAAGCTGACAAAGATCAAATGGACACAATATATTCCTCATATCTCTATGAAATACTTAAGTATGTAGTGCCTGGACACCCTGTGTGGGCCAACCCTGCTAAAGTAACTTCCTTGGCAAAGTCTACTGTTAAAACTTATATCCAAGTAAAGGCAGCTTTTTCAGTAGATGATAATAGCCACTACATCTTCACCCTCAGAGATCTTACTCGATGGTGTACTGGAATAATACGGTACAAACAAGACGAATCTGACCAGACACAAGATACAATACTTGAGATATGGTCCTATGAGTGTATGCGCCTTTTCAGAGACAAGCTGGTATCTGAAACTGACAGGAAAAAGTTTGATTCAATCCTGTCAAGTACTCTAACTTCAGACTGGAGCAGTAATCTATCGGAAAGTATGATAAACCAATTTTATACTACCTCAGGCACCAATGAAACTGTTTCATCCCTAATGCCATCATTTGGGAGATCTTTGGGAAAATTATCTCCTAAAGATTGGGAGTCAGCAGTTCAAAATGGGGCTCACCTTTTTTCAAGGGAGAATTGGGAGCTTGATCCCTATACCACTGAAGAACTGTTGAATTTAACTGCAAGATGTGACAGGGTACTCTCAATGCCTGCTGGCTCCCTTCTTCTTGCTGGAAGAGCTGGAGTTGGACGAAGAAATGCTATCAGCATTGTCTCTGCTCTTCAGCAAGCTAGAATTGTATCTTTAAGGATGGGTAAAAACTATGGACTTAAGCAATTCAAGAGTGATCTTAAGACTGCTATGCAAGCTAGTGGAGTTGAGAATGAGCAGGTCTATTTTCTGTTTGAGGATCATAACATGATTGATGATACCTTTTTAGACATGATTAACAGTCTTCTTTCCTCTGGAGAGGTTCCCGGGCTGTATACAGCAGAAGAATTGGAACCAATTTTGGTACCACTGAAACAAAATGCCAGCATCAGTGGTTTCAGTGGTGATATAATGAAGTTTTACGCAGAAAATGTTAGAAAAAATCTTCATATCATTTTAGTAATGGACTGCTCTCATGAAGATTTTACAATAATTTGTGAGAGCAACCCTGCATTCTTTAAGGAGTGTTCTGTCCAATGGTTACCAAATTTTAGTGAGCATACTTATCATTCTCTTCCTCCAAAAATAATTGACATGTTAGAGGCCAGAAATGAAACAGATGAAAATAACAAAGCAAAGAAGGTTGATAGACAGAATTCAATTTCTGATGCTATACTTCATTCTTTTTATTCAATCCATGACTCTTTGGATTCAAAAAAGACTACTCCATCAAAGTTTGTGCAACTAGTTCAAACATACTTTGGGATTGTGCAGAGAGAAAAGAAAAAGATTCAGGACAGAAAAGAGAAACTCTCAGCAGGGGTATCAAAACTGAATGATGCAAGGGAGGTAGTCGCAAAGTTGAAACAGGAAGCAGCAGTTAAAGAAGGAGAGCTTGCAGAAAAACAAAGTGCTGCCAATGATGCACTTCAGATGATAACTGACACCATGAGGAATGCTAATACACAAAAAGGGGAGATGCAGCATCTAAAAACTGACACTTTGAAAGAGGAGAAAAAGATTGCAGAAAGGAAAAAAGCAATTGATGAGGAACTGAAAGAAGTAGAACCTCTTATTGAGGAGGCAAAGAAAGCTGTTGGAAATATCAAAAATGAAACTTTGTCTGAAATAAGATCTTTAAGAGCCCCTCCAGAGGTTATCAGGGATATTCTTGAAGCAACCTTAGTCTTGATGGGGATCCAAGATACTTCATGGAATAGCATGAAGAGTTTCCTTTCAAAGAGAGGTGTCAAAGAGGAGATCAGAAATTTTGATGCAAGAAGGATTGAATCAAAAAGCAGAGCTCAAGTGGAACAGCTAATGAAGACTAAAAGTAATTCTTTTACAAAAGAAGCTGCTGCAAGAGCTTCTGCCGCAGCTGCTCCTTTGTCTGCTTGGGTTGCTGCTAATGTAAAATATTCTCATGTTCTTGAGAAGATAAAGCCTTTGGAACAGGAACAAAAGACACTACAATCAAATCTAAGAAATGCAGAAAACAAGCTGACAGATTTGACCCAAGGACTAGATGAAGTTGATCAGAAAGTAGCTGTACTTAAGGAAAAGCTCAATCAATTTACAAAAGAGGCAGCTGAAGTAGAAATTTCACTCACAAAGACTAAAGAGATTATATTAGCAGCTGATCAGCTGGTTGCTGGTCTTGAAGGAGAATACCTGAGATGGAAACAGGAAGTTGAGTCAATGGGTCAAAACTTGAATCAGATTCCTGCATTGTCCCTGATAGCCTCAGGATTTCTAACATATCTTGCTGACAAGCCTGAAGATCTTCGAAAAAGTCTGATTGACATGTGGTGTTCCAAGTTAGGGGTTTCTAAATTTGATTTGAAGCATTTCCTCAGCAGTGAACAGGAAATGCTGCAATGGAGAGCTGATGGCCTTCCTTCAGATGATTTATCTTTGGAGAATGCAATATCTATTCTGAAATCTGCATCCAAACCTTTCATTATAGATCCATCCTCCCAAGCTACAAACTGGCTCAAGAAACATTTTGAAAATGAAGGTAATCTAGAAGTTACAAATGCCAATGATGAGCGTTTTTTTCTCAATCTCGAGCTATCAATCAGATTTGGAAAAACTTTAATAGTTCTAGATGCTGAGACCATTGAGCCAGTGCTTTATCCATTACTGCGACTTCAAATTGTAGGACAGGGTCCTTACAAAGTTGTACAGGTTGGAGAAAAGCAAATTGATTACAACCCTAATTTCAAGTTGTTTTTGGTGTCTAGGAATACAAAGCCTAAAATCACCACCAACATGCAAGCTCTTGTTTGTGTTGTTAATTTTACCACAACCAGAGCAGGATTGAAGGGCCAACTACTAGGTAAAGCTTTGCAACAAGAAAAGCCTGAGCTAGAAGAACGTAAATCTTTATTACTAAAGCAAGAAGAAGATCTTAAAATTCAAATCAGCAATCTTGAGGATGATTTGTTAAATCAACTAGCAAATTCCTCAGGAAATATTTTAGAAAATAAAGACCTTTTGGACTCTCTTAATCAAACAAAGACCAAAAGTGCTACGATCCAAACCTCTTTGGTCGAATCAGCAGCTTTGCAAGAAAGCCTAGATCAAGAGGGAAATGCCTATTTACCACTGGCAGACTATGCATCTAAATTATATTTTGCTTTGACAGATCTTTCAAATATAAATAACATGTATCAATATTCTCTGAGCTCCTTTCTTTCACTGTATGTAAAAACTTTGAAAACTGTTCCTGCTGGAAATATGAATGTTAGAATGGAGAACTTGAAAAAAACTTTACAGGCAACAGTTTATGGCTATATATCTAACTCTCTGTTCAAATCTGATAGGTTGATGTTTGCTCTTCATCTTTCACATCAGATGAATCCAGAAATGTTTTTAAAAAATGAATGGGAACATTTCTCAGGAATGCTTATAGACTATGCATCTTCTGAAAACTCAATCAGCTTACCAGATTGGATAGAGGAAGATCGGAAAAATGATGTATCCAAGTTAATGAAAGGATTGCCAGAGCTTGGTAATCTTCTTCAACTTGAAGATGGGAATATGTGGGGAAGTTTTATGAAGAGTGAGGAATGTGAAAAGGAACTGCCTGTACTTGTGAGCAAAAAACTATCCTTGTTCCAAAAGCTGTTGGTTGTTCAGGCACTGAGGCCAGATCGCTTGGTGAGTGCTTTGGAAGATTTTCTTCAGTTGGGACTAAGCTTGAAAGAGCTTTCAGCCCCAGCTCTCAGTATGAAGAGTGTCTTTAAGGAAACGGTAACACAGGAACCTATTTTGTTGATTGTTTCCCCAGGTTCTGATCCTTCTCAAGATCTTAGAGACCTGTCCGTTCAAAATAGACAAACGCTGCATGAGGTTGCTTTGGGTCAAGGTCAAACTGATTATGCCATTGAAAAGTTGAGAGAATCAATGAAACATGGCCAGTGGGTTGTCATGAAAAATCTACATCTGATGACTTTTTGGATTCCTGTGCTCATGAAAGAATTAAGTACTGATGAAATCCACCCAGATTTTAGATTATGGCTTACAGCAGAATCTCATCCAAAATTTCCAACAACATTATTGGAATCAAGTTTAAAGATTTCTTATGAAGCCCCTCCTGGGATTAAAAGGAATCTTCAATCAACTGTAGATTCCTGGAATACTGAATTCATGGCTAAGGGAGAAAGTGCATTGCGAGCTCAAACAATGTTTACCCTGGCTTGGTTTAATGCAGTGATACAGGAGAGAAGAACCTTTATTCCTCAAGGATGGGCCAGCTTTTATGAGTTCTCAGATTCTGATCTTCGCTCTGGAATAGAGGTCATTGAAAACCTTTATGCTAACTCTGGAGATAACATAAGTTGGGATTTTATTCATGGCCTTTTCAAAAATGCCATATTTGGAGGCAGGGTTGACAATGTTTATGATCTGAGGATTTTAGATTCATATCTTCGTATATTCTTTAATGCTAATGTATTGTCTGGCCAATTAAGAGCTAAGAGTCCATTAGGCCCAGGGCTTGAACTACCAACCTCTTTCAAGTACAGTGAGTATCAAGATCTTGTTTTCAAGTTACCAGAAGAAGATAAACCATCCTTCTTTGGCCTGCCTCCAAATATTGAAAGAGCTCATCAGAGAAATGTCAGCAATATGGTCATAAAACAGTTACGATTGCTTTCTTTATCATCTGCAGATGGTTCCAAGTTTGATAGGGAAAAGTGGCAACAAGAACTGTCCCCTGTCTTGAACTTGTGGAAAAAGTTGAATCAAGGAACAGGTATTTTACAACTAAAACTGGAACCTCCCCTTGCGTCTGATTCTGTTCCGATAAAAGAATTTGTACAATTGGAATTCTATAATGGTGTTTCTCTTCTTCAGAACGTGCATAAGACCCTGTCAGCAATGGCTAAAGTAATAAAAGGGACATCACTTCTTGATGCCACAGTAACAAAGCTTGCAAAGAGCATTCTCAGACAAGAGACTCCCCTAGCATGGCAAAAACTCTGGAATGGACCTGAAAATCCAACAGATTACATCAAATGCATAGTTTCTAAGGTTAATGAAATCCAAAAATGGACATCAAGGGTGGATCAAGGATCTCTTTTGAAAGATTCAATTGATTTCTCGGATCTATTTTTCCCTGACACTTTCCTTAGCGCTCTTGCTCAGCAAAGTGCACGGGAGTTCAATATTTCAATGAGTGAGATGAAGCTGCATACATCCTGGTCAAAGGGAGGGGTATCAGGAGCTAAGATTTCCATCAAAGTTTCTTTACTGCAGTTGGAAGGAGCAACATTTGATGGAGTAAGAATGGTAAGCAACAGCCACAACAGTCCGAGCATTCAAACTGCTCCGACTTGTAGTTTCGCCTACTTACCAGAATCCAGCACAAGTGCTAGTCCTTCATCTGAGGTAATATTATAGATATTAAACTCTGGATTTGCAATTTCATAAAATCTTAAAATCAATTTCTGAAAAAAATAGATAATTATGATGATCTTAATACTACTTTTTGCCAAGGTGATGCTTGTACCGTTGTACTGGAACCAGGAAAGAGAAAGATTGTTGGCTATGGTTGAGATGCCAAGTGGAGGAGAGGAAGAACGCTGGCTTCAAGCCGGAGTTTCTTTGTTTATAAAAGATAGTGTCTAAGCACTTGATATTAATCTATCATTATTTTTCCTGGGTGTATCTTTTAGTTCAGAAAATCCTAAATGAATTGAGTTTTTGCCACAAACTCAAATTTGTGAATCCCTATTTCTTTGCAACCCGATGGTGTAAAATTTTGATATTTCAAATTTAGATTAATTGGTATAACATGATTCATAGTTTGAAATATCTTTAGTCTACGGTATTGGATTGCAAAGATATAGGGATTAGACAATCAGAGTTTGCGCTTTGTTCTAAAAACTTTTATTACAATATCTCAATGTGGCTAAAGATTAAATTTATATTCTCCCCCCCCCCTCCCCCACCTTGTTTTCTTAAAATTGTGCACACTTTCACTGAGATATCTCTGAGTGATCTTATTAAGCTCTATAAAAACATGAACTGATATGATACAAGCTTCTTAGTTTAACGCTAAGAGAAATAAACAAAATTTACTCTCTAAAACCTAAAGAAATACCCAAATATTAACATTTTCTTAGCGTTGGTCATGCACACCCACTAGCTATCACAAATATCTATATATGAAATTGTACAATATGAATTTTCGCAAATATATATTCTTGCAAGTTTTACGCCGCAATTATTAATATTGCCGCAGTATTAAATTTATAACGTTTTTATTAATATATTTAATATTAAATATCACATTGTATATCATGAATTTTCTCACAAATATATATATATATATATTGCACCCTGCGACCAACGGGTTTCCCGACGCTCTAGCACCCTCGTACGTAAAGCTATCCGACTGGAACAGCAGAGAGCCTGGCTCATTTTCACAAGATTTTTGCCCTCCGTGACTGCCAACAAATTGCGTGCTTTGAAAATCCGAAGACCTTGCTTATTTTTCAAATTGCTTCATGACTATTTCATGTTTCATTTCATTATTGACCTTTTCTCTCTGTCCAGTGTGCAGTGATTTACGATTCAATCAATGTAAACTCCGGTTCATTTCAAGCACCGGGCCGACTTTTAGGCATCTAGAGCAAGCTGTACTGCAGTACACATACAGACTATACGGGACTGGACATCCCTTTTTAAATAGATTATATTGCAATATGTAGGGATGTTAACGTTTTCATTTTTTTGAAAGACGATCGTTTTTAAAAACGATTAACAACCCTAATGATGGGACACACTGTTTGAGGAAAAATTGCTTATTTCATGTTTGGAATAGCCTAACAGTAAAAGATGATAATGATGATGCACAAAATGTTGTTTGATATATGAAATATTGTAAGTTTTTCAGATTTTCACTGAAATGATTTTTGTTTTTTGTGAATAACTTTTTTTTATAAATTCTATCCAGGCTGAACCCAAATTCAAGTTGTGGTTTTAGCAACTCATATATAATATAGTTAATTTTTGTTGCATATTTAACCGATTTTTTTTCTCAAATAACACCACAAGATAGATACATTTTAACACAAAATAAAAAATGTAAATATAAGAAAAGTTTAGTTTTTGTGTTTCTATGTTTCTTGAAAAACATTTACGGAACATTTAGCTTCTCCCGGTCAATACCTCTTACCCCCCCCCGCCCCCCTCTTTGTACAGGGTGCCCCATAAAAAAGTAAAAAAGTTCTTACTTTTTTTACTTGTTTAAAAAAATAACTCCTCTCATTGCAGATCTATTGAGAAGAACAAAAATGTTTAAAATTTCTAAAATGTAACTATATCAGTAACTTAATTGCTCGTAAAGCCAAAAAGACAGGAGCTGCGAGGTCACAAAGTCGGACTAATGATTTCACCTATTCCTTCAATCTAGGGTTGTGTGGTGCACTATTCAAAGTTAACTGTAGAGAGTTCTTTGAAATATCTCAGTAAGATAATACTTTTTTGTAAACTTATTTAAAAATATAATTAAGACTTTTCATGAGTTTGAATTATAAAAGGTCTTTTGATAAATTATTTCGAGGTAAAAAATGTAACAATGCAGATTTTTTGCCAATTTTAGGCAAAGTTGCCTTTTTGAAAACAATTGAGGTCTTTATCTTCTTATGCTTTAAAAGTTAAAATTTTTAAGTTTTTTAAAGTAATTGTTAAGAACTTTAGAATCTGAGTATAAAGGTCGAAATTTTTTGCGCAAATGTGAATCCACACTCTGTGGAAGACGATTGTCAGACTCAAAAAAGGCGTTAAGATCGTGCAAATTCCAATGTACATGAAATACAGCAGTTGTGCAATGTGAAAAGAATTGAATTTATTGATTTTCAAGCTGCAACAGTAAAACCATTTGGATTATAACAAAATCATAAAAGAATACAATTGGTTAAATGTCTTCTTCCTTTCTATTCATATTGTTTTCTTCATTAAATGCCTTACTCCAATAATTCTTTAAGTCTGTGTCAATCCAGATACAACCCTCTCAATGTATTCTTAAGTATGTATCAATCCAGATACAACTTTCTCAAACTCTATCCTCTCTATGAACAATGGTAGGTCTAAGTATTATTTATTCTATACTCTATACCAAGCAATGGTATATTTCTGATTGTAATGAAACAGTGGTTCATATTCAACTAAACTATATTTTGGGTTTACTGGTAAAGATGAAATGTATTGTCCCATAGGTCTATTCAGAAATTTATTATCTTAGTTATATATACAAGACATGTAGCAAAAATCGTGGAAACATGATATTCTGTAAAACTGCAGTACTGCAGTACTGCAGTACTGCAGTATAATAATGATTAAATGACATTATTCATTGAAACTACGTTTCAATTGAATACTTAACATGATTAGCTAAAGTTATTTGACATACTTAAATTACGCTATAAAATATGTGCGAAATAGCTAAACTGCATTGTATCTATTCTCTCTAATCCCATAAATACATATATTTAACTTTAACTGTGCGATAAATACATAATATGATGGTTTTAATCTTGTGATAATGATATCATTGTAGAAATTGTAACTGTGTCAATTCCTGTTCACTTTGTGACATAAGATATTAAATAAAGTTAATTGATTGAGACTCTGCTTTGATTAAGGTATTAGAAGTGAATTGGTTCTTGTTGAAATATACAAGTATATTATCATACCTTGAGTATTTGTATTGATCTATTGATTGCTAGTGTCTGTACTGACATCAACAGCTGACAAGATCGCATTGTTAATATTGTAGTGGCGTTGATTAGTCACAGTATTGTAGCTGTATGGATTGTGTCCTGGTTGAGACATTGATCAATTAATTGCTAGTGTCCATATTGACACTGATAGCTACGCTTGTGTCCCGGTGTGGCATTTACAGCCTGGGATTCAGTCCTGGTTGAGTACTGTTTTAGTAGTGAGATTTTGATAGCTACGCTTGTGTCCCTGTGTGGCATTTAGAGCCTGGGGTTCAGTCCTGGTGGAGTTTGCTTGCGGACGGACTGTACCTGTATGGAGTAGGCGTTCACTACAGAAATATGCATCAGTTCTATTACTATATTTATTACACATATATACATTACATTATCCCCCCCCCCCCCTCCCATCTCTTCATATTGTTTTCTGCATAACCCCTATTCATATATATATATTACAATATCATATTGTTTACTTCATAAACCCTATTCACATAAAATTACAATATCCAACCCCATACTCCCAATCTCTTTATATTGTTTTCCTAATAAGCCCCTATTCATATATGTAAACTACAATATCCCCCCCCCCCCAACTCTTAAAATGCTTTGCATTTTGAAGAAAAAAAATGATATATCAATATTTCAGAAAGTTATCATATTTAGAGCCAGATTAATAGCTTGTTTGATAGCTACCGAGATCGAGCCCAGTGGTAGTGGCCTTAATAGTTCACAGGATTGCAGCCTGGTTGACTTTGATAGCGGACAGGTTGTACCTGGACTGATACAGTTTAGGACAAAGTTTTAAGAGTACGTTATTTACTACAGGAGTAGAGAGTAAATATCTTTCCCTAGGTTGGGTAGGGAGGAGTAGAGAGTAAATATCCCCCCCTAGGTTGGGTAGGGAGGAGTAGAGAGTAATCTATATCGGAGAAATTGATATTGCTGTCCCAGAATACAACCAGTTATTTATCAGCTTCTCTCACATCCATCTTATCATAACATATTGTACTTTTTGTACAATTTACACCTTTTAGCTCTCTCAATATAGTTCATTTTACAGGGCGCGAGTGGTGTTTGTAAACCAAAATAAAATCTCTCTAAAAATGTGGAAGATATTGTCGCTTTTCTAGGTTTAAAAATTGTTCAGTTTTGTGGAGAGCCCACAATTGAAAACTCAAAAAATAAACATTGATTTAAAATTCATAATTGATCAGACAATATCTATTTATGCAGCTGTTTTGTGTTATCGATCATGCGGGACAATTATGTTTTTTTGGTCGGGATTTTTTGTTTAAGGTTTAAATTTGAGATTTTTAATCACTAACGTAGTGAGCGATTAAAAATATCGAATTTAAACCTTAAACAAACAAAAAAGTTAAAATCACAACAACAACAACAACCCTCACGTGAGAAGTTTATTCATAAAAAACTACTAAATTACTACATGATTACTACATGATTACTACATGATTACTACATTAAACTCTTAAAATAGACATTTACATGCACTTTTTTTAAAACCTCATTTATTTTTCTTTTTTTGGGGGTTTCAAATATGTCATATTCTAAGGAACATATTAAACCTTTAAAATTGTTTTTCCCCCAAGTTTAAGAATCATAAGAAATAAGGTATATCATAATTTTTAATTTGTTCTTAAAAATTTGTTGATAATCACAAAAAATCATACTGAAAGCATTCTTAATTCTATATTAGTTTGAAACCATGTTTATATCTCCATTTCCTTTGGTTAGTTTGTGGTGTCATATAAAGTTTATATTCATCCTTAGAATTAGTTTAAAATTCTGGCTACGTACTGTATAATACCAATTTCTTAGACAAATGGTTGGGAAAATTCAGAATAAAAGTCATGATGGGCTTTGTTAGTTTAAAATTGTCTCGCAATGTTTCTATGTAAAATGACGCTTTAACGTAGGCCTGATCCCATCCTGGACTAACCAGAACAAGATGCATTCGGTTTCTTCTATCCCTGTTGTCCCAGTTCCCGGATCTGCTCCACCAACATGAAGCTCCACAACAC